CCACCCACCCCCGGCCCCTGCAGGCAGTGACGACTCACAGGTGGCGCCTCCCCACGAGGCTTCTGGGTGGGGCTCGTCCGTCCACGCCAGCGAATAGCAGAGGCGGCAAGGCTGGGAAGGCACGCGGTAACAAACGCGCAGGCCCGGGCAGCCACCTGGGTGCCAAGCACCCCCCTTAAAGCATACACATGCTTTAGACACTTTTGCAACGAGAAGCTTTAACATTTAAAGATGCCATTTGAATGAAAGATTCTGGCAGGAAGCCTCCCTACCCAAAGGCAGCCAAGGCGCTCACCCGCACGCAGCCCCCCACCCCAAGACGGGAGCAGGTGGCCAGGGCCACTGGCAGCACGCAAAGCCTGCGGGGCAGCCCCCAGACCAAGAGAGGGGGGCTCCCAGGCCACGCTGCTGCCCCACACGGGTGCGACACACCCACTGAGAACAGGGTCTGAAAGCAGGCCCTCAGAGGACATAACGAGCTCCTCAAATCGAACATACACCAAGCCTCGCTGGAGGCAAGGCTCCCCCAGAGCAAGAGGCAAGCACACGGGAGAGGAAGAAAGGCAGGGAGGCAGGCCAGCAGGGTGGCCGGTGAGCAGAGCCGGACACCACGGCTCCAGGGGCCTCCAGGCCCAGCCTCAGGGAGGGAGCCGCAGGCCCCCATCAGGCACGCGCCACGTCAGGGCGCAGGCTGCCCAGCAGGAACGGGGGGTGGGGGCGGCCAGGAGGACAGGGCCGCACCATCCCAGTTCTGGGGAGACCAGGCAGGACCGCTGAAAGGGCCCCAGAGCGACAGGGAAAAGACCAAAGGGGCAGATGCCAGTGTGCAGAGCCAGAGAGCCCCGGGGGCAGGTGGGGGGTGTGTTCCTGAAGACACAGTGGGCAGAATTCAGATGCACGTGAGCATCTGCAGGGCCACAGCACAACGCACGCGCGTATATGACCCAGTGCAGGAAGAGCACAGGCCAGGTCCCCTGGGAGGAGCCTGCAAGGTGGGGAAGAGGCCAGCGCGTCCCTGCTCGGCCACCCACCCAGTGCCTCAGGACTGGCCTGGCCACAACCGGCCCCCCGAAGCCAAGGGGCCATGGGCCATCCTGCTTCACTGCTCGACTAGTGAAAGGCCACCTGGAGTCCGGGACGCCCTGCATTTGTCCGACGATCGACCCGACAGGGGGTCTCGATCAGACGCAGACGCCCAGGGCCCGTGACCACCCAACCCCGAGTCGGAGGGGGCCGGCCAGAACCGAGACAGGGCCCTCGCGGAGGCCCCCAGAGCAAAGGATACGCGGTGTGCCTTCGGTGCGGCACACGAGGTAGAGGCAGGCGGCGGTCACGTGGGCCATCCTGCGGCCGCGGGTCAGGTGCTTGCCCACAGCCATCTTGAAGAAGTTGAAGGCCGTGTCCAGGCAGTGCTGGTTCAGCTGCAGCTGGTTCCCCAGGTGGTGGATCTGCCGCCGCCCTAGGACACGACATGACACGTCACCTGCGCACACGGCCTGCCGCGGCACCAGGAGGGCACCACGTCGGCGCCCCGGAAAGCTGAGGTCAGGGCACAGTTTCGCCCGTTTCCTCTCACGCTTCGAAGCTCACGTCATGTGTGTCTCCATATTCAGGGGTGGACGCCGGATGGGAATCTCCTATACGATTCCAGTGACAGATGCTCCGCTCCACACCGAAATGGCATCAGTTCCCTGCCCAGGCAGGCTGGCAGCACCTTTCCCAGGGTGCCCAAGCTCGGGGTGCCTGCACAGGGCATCTCCACCAGGTCCACACGGACACAACTGCCACCAGGGAACAGCCAGCCCAACAGCCCTGGGCCCACACGCAGTCCCCCACCCCCAGCTGAGTGCCCCAGGCCCTGCCTCCTGCTCCAGCAGCCAGGAGACTGGTCACGCCTGCGTGGCCTGCCCGATCAGTGCCCATGCTGGCCTCTCCTCTGAAAGCCACTGCCTGGCGCTTCTGGGCCCGGAGGGGAGTGGCGCTAGCCCCTCAGGTGCCATCCTGGCGAGGTGGAAGCGGGTAGGGAGGGGCGGCCAGGCCCTGGGAGGTCAGGCTGCCGGCTGCCCCGGGACTCCGTCTACACATACACCTCTCCCTGGAGCAATCCCCTCCCTTACGTATGGGCCAGTGACGGCAGCAAGAAGGGCTGGCGCGCTGTTCCCATGCCTGCAGCCCAGGAGCAGCTGAGGCCGCCTGGCACACAGTGCAGAAGAAAGAGGCCCAGAGGCCACAGCAGGGCCGCAGCTCAGCGAGGGCTGCAGTCGGCCTCTTTCCCTCACCATGCTGGCCCAGCCACACGCACTCCTGCCTGCTGGTGGCCACAGTGCACAGACCGCCAGACTCCCGGTTCCAGCGGGTCCTCCGGTACCCAGACCACTGTCTTCCGGTGATGGCCACCCTCAAGTGGGCCAGGGAGGAAGCCAGGGACCTCTGCTTACCCCACAAAAATCAGGAGCCGACTCCCTGCTCTCTGTGACCCGGACAAGGACTGGGGAGGCGCGGGCACCTCGGCCCACCTGGTCTCGTCTGGCTCACCTGCCCCACACATGCTGTTCACAGGACCACTAGCCAAAGAAGGGCCGAGGAGCCAGCGGCCAGTGTAAGGCCTGGCAGCTAGGGGACCGGCCTGATGCTGCCCAAGGGGCCTGCTGGTCAGCATGCCCCACAGAGCTCCAGAGACCATGGAGCTCTGAGGTGCCAGTCAGCCTGAACGGACATGGGGCCAGGGTCACTGCCCCTAGGGCCACAGCCTGGGCAGAGCCAAGACCTTGAGCGACTGGACAGAAAGACAGCAAGACTGATAGCCACTTCTCCATAGCATACACTCGGCACATCGGGCAGACACAGCCCACCCGCACGCCCAGTGAGGCTCAGAGACAGCAGGGCACTGACAGAGACCCATCGGCACTGGGGCCTTTCCTACCTGCTCTTTGGCAAGTGTTTGGGACCTGTAACAAACGGTAAGAGGTGCACCCCAGGGGCACTCATGTGAGGCCGGGCTCTGGAATTGCCAGAGTAAGTTATCTCGTGGCATCCTTACCACGGTACAATGCACCCACTGTGAAGGGCACCCCGACACGTGCACATCAGGGGTTTCAGTGCATTCACGGCCATGTGACCATCACCGTGATCTGGTACATTTTCATCACTCCTAAAGTAAGCCCTGTGCCCTCAGCAGCCACACCCACTGTACCCTCGGCAGCGACTGAGGTTTGTGGGAGTCCAGTGAGCACACCTGACAGACAGTAAACCACATGCCGCGGGTGCCGCATATGAAGGCTCAGGCACGATTCAGAGACAAACCCACATGGCCCAGCTCCTGACTACCCGCCATCACTTGCTCTCCTTGAGCTGCCTCCCGGGGGTTGCAAGCATCAACGCACTGGCCCACGGACGCCGTCGTGCTTCTGGCGTCTCCCATGCCAGATGGCGCCAGAGAGCATCCTTCCAGGCTGGTGGCAGTGGGACAGGAGTGGCCCCAGTGCAGGGTGAGGGCCTGGGACACAGGGCGGGTGCCCTTGGCACTGCTCAGACTCTGCAGACCCCCCCCACGGGCCAGCTGGGTCCCCTGGGGAGCAGAGTAGTGAGAGAGGCGTATGCAGCAGGCCACATGTCACACTGTCCCCACGAGGCCTGCACCAGGGGCTGTGCCAGGGAGAGGACACTGCTGACCCCAGGAGACACCGGGGGCATAAGAGGAGGATGTCCCTGACAGCTCTGGGCAGCAAACAGAACTGAATCTCCAGAGGCACACTGACCAGACATGCACATTTTGCCAAACGGACAGGAGGGAACAGAAGATGTAAATGGTCCTATAAAGCAATCTGTACCTTTAAATGTAATTAAAATAGTCTCACAAGGAAAAATCAAGGCCCAGCTGGCTTCACGAGTAAATTCTTACACACATTTAAGGAAGAATCTGGTAAGTCACACATTAGCTTTTACAGAAAACAAAGCACAGTGACTCAGGACCAAATGCCGTTTACCCAGAGGGGCGCAGGGAGGCCAGTCCGTGTGCCTGATACACCAACACAGAGAAACACAAGGCATGTGACAGAATGCTGACATCACTCCTAAGGACAGAGACATCCACCACTTTCATGTCAAGGCCAGCAGCCGGACAAGAGTGCCCTCTCCTAACCTAAAACAGGCTGGGGAACCTCTAACGGGAGGGCCTAACAGTCCCCGGGGCCCAGGGGCCCAGCAGTAAGAATCTAAGTGACATGACTGCAGACGGAGGGCGGTCTGCCGGTCACCGTGTCCTGTACGAACATGGAGTCATCCCCGCAGATGACCTACAGATTCAGTGTAACCCCCAAGCAAAACCTGGGTGAGTTTTCTTCTGGAAACCAACCAGCTGGCTCCATCACTTACTTTGAAATGCAAAGGCGCCGAAAGAACGGAGAGTCTCGAAGAGCAGGGCTGGAGGGCTCACCCACCAGCCCGCAATGCCCCCGTCACCGGTCATCAGGACACCGGAGCCCGGGCCCCAGGAGAGATGGGGCCGCCTGCAGCGGTCCGAGCATCTGCAATGTCACAGCCTGGAGTGGACTAGCGCGCACAGAGTCACCCGATTTGTGACAAAGGGACCGGGAAAGTACCCCAGGAAGGACAGTCCTTTTGATAAACATGCTGGAACTGCATGTTCACACTGGGAAGCATAGACCCCAACCCCTAGTTCACATCATATATAAATAAAACCTTGAGGCAGATCACAAAGCTAAATCTGGAATATAAAACAAAAAGCTTCACAATGAAAACACAAGGGAGGATCTTCACGCTTTGGGATAGACAGGAATAGACAGGAATTTCTTAAACAAGTCACAGAAACCCCAAACTATAAACTACTGATATGTAGGAACTTCACTACAATTAAGACATTTCTATTCCTCAGAAGACATCATTAAGAAAGTAAAAAGACAACCCACTGACTGGGAGAAGAACTCAAATATGTATAAGCAACAAAGGGCTCAAATCCAGACTATATATAGAACACTGACAAACCAGTAAGAAAAAGGTAACTCAGTTTCTTGAAAGAACTTATGCAGAAGACATGATGAACCAGCACCTCCCAGAGAAAGGACCTCCCAGGGGCCGGAGAGCAGACGCAAAGGTGGTGGACACGCTGCTCACCAGGACAGCAAATCCAGTCGCCTCGTATTCTGCACGCCACTGGAAAGACCAGCTAGGAAAGCCGAGAAACACCCAGGCCTGGCAGCAACCGACCTCTGGGCCTGCACGTCGTCTGCCGGGGCGAGGGCAGATGCAACCCGGGCTGTGCCTTCTGGAGGAGCACACGCCCGATGCCCTGGAGCCCCTCTCAGGCGCTCCCGGGGCCCCTCAGGGGCAACGGACAGAGCCGTGCACAGCAGCCTCACGCAGGCAGCCGGAAGGAACACCGGCGTCCACCAACAGGCACGTACACAGGCTGCAACGGAGCCACACGTGGGGGCCCCCGCTACTCACACACACCAGAAGGACACCCTCTCTGATTCCAGCTGTCAGAAGCAGAAACACACATAAAACCATTCAGCACTGGGAGCTTTCTGGGGTACAGCAACTATGCTCTGCCCTGGCCTGTGAGGCATACCTTAATTCACGTAAATTTACCAAGCACTTCAACTTCAGGTCAGTACGTTTGATGCACCCACTGTACATGTTATACCAAGAAAATCAGATGCACAAAATAGGGAAAAAATCCCCCAAGAAATGTCTCCCAAGTGCAAGTGGGCAGAGAGCCGGTGGACGAAGCCCTGCTCAGTGGCATCTTTAGAGCCCCAGAGGCAGAGGCGAATCCCCAAAGGTCCCTGCTGAGGAGAAACAGAGACATCAAAACTCAGACCATGCACCGAGATTGTGCATTTCATTGTATGCATCTGAATTTTAAAAATATTTCTAATAAATAAAAAAACTTCAAAAACAGAACTCAGACTGGGAATGACCCTTCCCTGCTGGCAACACTGGGCCACTAACTCCCAGGGGGACTTAGTGTGAGGCGGGACCTGCTGCCCCAAGCCCCCCGACAAGCACCTGGGAACAGGGACAGCCATGTTCTGGCACGAGGCTCCCCTCTGCCCGCCCCCTGGCCACGACCTGAGTACGTCCCCAGCAAAGCCAGAGGTGAGCACGTGGCAGGGGCCAGGACGGGCCAAGAGCACATGGAGCAAGGGTGGGGGCGCGACCCCACATCAGCCTGAACTGCGACACACGGAGGTACCAGACATCAGGCTGTTCATTTTCCAACCTTCTTGTTTTCTAAGAGAGGCAACCAAGAGTTAACAAAAATAGTAACAGCTGAAGTTAAACCCAACAGACCAAGGGGGGGAGGTGGGAAGTGAAGGCACCCAGGGTCCTCCTCTGCAGGGCACAATGGACCGACTCCTGTTTCTGGGAGAAGCTCTTCACAAACAAGCTCAGGGTGGCCGCGAAAGGAACTGTGGCCACATAAACCTGCCAAGCCCTGGGGGCAGGAGGAGAGTGGACCACAGGATAAACGGGGAAGAAAGAAATGCACCCAAGGATCAAGTCGGCAACAGCAGTAAAGGGCACATGGAAGAATGAGCACGAACCTGAAACCAGAGGCAGGCAGAGTGCCGACACACCACACACGCACCAGCACGTCTCTCAGACAGGGTCTGGGGACGTGCTAGAATCTGCCCTGTGTCCTTCCCCAAAAGCTGCAGAAAATGAGAGTAAGGAGAGAAAAATCAGGATAAACTCACTGGGGTAAAGAATAAAGAGAGGAAAATCTCTTAGGACAGAGGGGCTACCACAGCACGGGCTCAAGGCCGGACAAGGACAGCACTGGTCAGTCAGATCAACAGAATTGGGGCTGGACTCGGTGGCCTCCCTTGGCCCCACAGCCAGAACCAGGTGGAGAAGGTCGATGCTGGGAGGCAACGAAGGCAGGAGGGGACACCTTCCGGGGCAGGCGGAGGAGAGCCAGCCCCTCCTGCAGGCGCATGGCTGCGGGCACTGGCCCCAGGTGGGGGCCCCTGTGCAAAGGCTGCATTGGTATCCAGGACTCCCCCGAACACCTCACCTCAACCCCACTGACACCCCTTCTGAGGAGTGTGCGAGTTCTGCCCTGACTGCTCCTTACACCAAGGTTCAAGTTTTCTTATCACAAGGATTATCTCATTGTTGGGTCCCAATTTTACTGCCATGAGTATCTGCACGATACGCTGCTCTGTGCCCCTTATTCAGGTCTGACACACACCCTACTCCAGTAAACACACCACAGGTTTTTGGAAACACACACATTCTCTACTGGAAATGAAGTTCTTCATGCGCAGAAGATCCCAAAGGGAGAAGGCTGTGGTCACACCAGCAGAGGAAAGTGGGCACAAAGGCCACAACACTGCAGCCACCTGCCAAGAATGTGCCCGTGGTTGTGCATGAATAACAGTCCTAAACCAGGCCAAACAGAGACAAGCCACAAGACAAGCCACAAATGTGGGGATTTTAATATGCCCTCAGTGACACCCAGCACAGGCTCAGGAGGAAATGTGACCGAGTGACATGCACAGACACCCCACTTACTGCAGAAAAATGCACTTTTCAAGTGCCCAAGCTAATCATGACTAGCCATATGCTGGGCCAGAAGGCAGGGGCCAGATCATTTTAAAAGACTGAAACCGCGCAGACTAGGACCTCTAGCGACAGAAGAATCAAGCTGGAAGTAAAGAAAGAACAAACTACGCTAATAATAAACCCATGGGGTCAAAGAAAAAGGTCAAGGGAAATCTGAAAACATTTTCATGCAAGAAATCATCACAAGCCCACCAGGTGACTGATGGTAGCTGGCTGGTGTGGATGTCGGCCATGTCCACGCTGGCCACCCCTGTCCACGGGGAGGTAGGGTCTCAAGAAGCAGGGAGAAGCTGACCAGTGTGCAGGTAGAGGCCACAGAGCACGCAGACGCGCCGAGTCGGGAGGCGCCCTGATGTGCATACATTCCTGAGAGGTCCCAGGAGAGGTCGGAGAGGGCCCGGCAGGACGTGTCTGCCTGAGCTGAACACAGCTGGCCTCACACGTGATGGTGGGGGACCAGACGCTCTCCCCCTGAAACTGGACCAGGGCGCTTCTTTCTAACAGAGTGCTGGACGTTCAAGCCAGGCAAGAAAACGAAATAAAACATCTAGATTGGAAAGTAAAGCTAAGCTCACCTACTTGCAAATGTCATGGTCTCATGTACAGTTAAGTCCCAAGAAATCCGTGGAAAACTATTTTAATGAACACATTCTGCAAGGCTGCAGGACACAAAATCAATATACAAACATTCACCATATTTTCTACACACTGGCAACAACAATCACAAAATGAAATTAAGAAAGCTCTATTTACAGTAGCAGCAAAAAGAATATGAATAAACACTTAAGAATAAATTTTACAAAGGAAATGTGAAACTTAGACTGAAAAACCACAAAAAGCGAACAAATTAAAGGCCTAAATCAGTGGAAAAACATTCTATGTTGAGGGATCAGAAGACTTCATCCTCCTCGGCTGACAGCACTCCCCAAACGGCCCACACAGTCAGGGCAGCCCTGTCAGAAGCCAGCTGCTGTGCAGAGACTCTCAAGCGCACCCTAAAATTCATACGGAAATGCAAGGGTCTCAGAACCACCAACAAAACAATGCTAATTGCTACAAAGCTGTGAGAACCACAGCAGTGCGGCTTAGGAGGAGGGACACAGGCAACAGGACGGGGGGCAAGTCCAGACATAATCGACCAGGGTGCCAACGGGGAAGGCACAGCGTCCTCAACAAACGGTGCTGGGAAAGCTGGAGACCCAGATGCAAAGGAGTGGGGCTGGCCCTCACCGCACCCCACATGCAAAGACTAACACCAAGTGACTCCAGACCTAGAACCGAGCTGAAACCACAAAACTCAGAGCGCGAGCAGAGCCTCGGTGATCCGGACGGAATCGGTCAGCGCTCCTCCGTCACGACACAAGAAGCAAAGGCGACATGGGGCTGGACAGGGAAACTGCACCATCAGAACAAAGCCTTCGGGCCTCCCGGAACCCCACCAGCGAGTGAAAACAGCAAAGAATGGGCAAAAACTTAAGTCGTATAGCCAACATATAAAGAACATTTATAATGCAGTAAGAAGACATCCAATTACAAACAGGTCAAGGACTTGAGAGGACGTTTCTCCAACCTGCTGTGGACTGATACTGTTACAAAACACAATGAACTTACGGCAGATGCATTTCAGATTGCTGTAAATTTGCTGTTTCTGTACCTGCTGACTTGAGACCAACAACAAGCAGGTGTGGTGGGACAGTTGTCTTTGCAGGTGGGGGAGGGACTGCAGGAACAATTCCTCCAGGAAGCACAGCCTCCCTGAGCTTGGTGGAGACGACGACAGGGGTGGGGTCACGCAGGCTGCCTGTTCGGGGCCTTCATCCCACACCCGCTCCAGCCCCCCAGCCCCCGAGGTGGGAAATACCGTTCTGCAGGGTCTGCGCTCTTGACTCCTTCCCCAGGTTCACGTGGAAGCCGCCACCCAGGGTCGGGGTCTTGCCGGCACCTAGAAACAAATCAGCCATCAGCCAGAGCTTCGGAGAAGATCCCCACGGATCAGGTCGGCCCCTTTGCAGCAGCCAGGCCAGCATTCTGGATGGGGACCCTCCCTGGCCTTCTCACCGCCCACCCCAGGAAGCCCCTCTCTCTCCGCCCTGCCCTCGGGGTGGGGCCTTGACCTGGAGCCACAGTGGGGCACATGCACGCGTGCTCTCTGAGCACCGACCAGGCCACTCCACTCCAGGGCGTGCCCATATGCACAAGAGCACAGCTGCCTCCACACTACAGGGCTGGCCTGGCCCACTCGGCCCCCTGCCCCCTGCCCCCTGCCCTCAGCCCTCCTGGGTGCTGGACCAGCCCATTCACAGGAGTTAAACCTGCACGGTGCCCACCGGTTAATACACCCACTTCCCCACAGTTGTCTGCAGGCCCCTGGAGGATGGCACCATGTCCTCTGTGGCCCGGAGCCCCTAGGCCCCTGGTGTGCAGGGGGCATGCACACCTCTGTCCACCTGTGTGCGGCCCACCCACAGAGCTGCAGCTGAGGAGCTGCGGTTCAAAGCCAGCCACAACCAAACCTGCGGGCACTGCCTTGGCACTCCCAACAGCTCCCAGCCACCCCAGCAGTCCCACACTCTGCTCTGCGGGGCTTCAGGGCTGGGACTCCTGTCCTGTCACCCTTCAAAAAGGGACTTCCCTGTTTTCAGACAGCTCACCAGACTCGCAAACCCACCATGGAAGCACAACCATCAAATAAATGAGCATCATGTAGGGGCCCCGGCAGCCAGTGAAGGAAGTGGGCGCCCCCAGGCCAGTGTGTCCATTACTAAGTACAGACCAAAGGACAGGAGGTTTCCGCAGTACACCCCGAGACTTAGCCACATGGGGAAGGGAGAGCACAGGGCCCGCCAGAGGCACAGGGTCACATGTGAGGGTGACAAGCAAAGTCAGAAGTGACGGGAACTGGGAAGCCAGATCTCTAAAATCAGGGTCAGGCCCCTGGAAAAGCAGGCAGCCCACCTCCTGGGGTGTCAGGGCATCAGGGCCATCGACGGGCATCTACCAGCACAGACAGTGCAAACAGCCGCGGTCTCCAGCATATCTATGACCGCAACCAAGCCCCACCAGTGACAACGAGATTCTCCAAGACCTGGCAAAATTACTCTCAGGTTTGGCTGGAAACAAAATGAAGTAAGTTTAGCCAAGAAAACATTGAAAACGAGTAGGCCCAGCTGTGCAGCTGCCAGGCCACAAGCGAGTGGGGACGTGAGGTGCCCAGCAGCCCTCGGAGGCCGCCTCCCTAGGGCTCAGGCCTGGAGCCTTGTCCTCAGCCGCCTCTGTGGTTTGGGCGGCCACGGGGCCAGCCCAGCTGGGCAGGGAAGGAGCACCACCTCCTGGTGGGGACTGGCTGGGAGCCAGTGGCCCACTGCAGAGAGTGCAGTGCCCAGGGACAGCGGCAGGGCCTGGTGAGGCTCTGTTGTCCCTCTGGCGTGTTGGTTTCCTTTCTAGGGCTGCCCGGGGAGCCGCCACAGATGGTGTCTTCAGGAAGCTGGCCGTACAGGGTGGGGAGGGAGATGGATGGCAGTGTGCCCCCACAGGGCTGGGGAGGGGCTGGCACCATGCAGGGCCCAGGGGAGACCCATCCCTCTGCCAGCATGTCACCTATGAGCTCTGCAGGGCTGACAGGGGATCCCTGGGTTTGGAATCACCACCTGTGTCTCCCAACCTCCTGCTTTGGTGGGAATGGCTTTTTTAAACTTTAATCTTTTAGATGCAGGAACCACTGAACAAGGCCACAATCACTCACAGCCACCTGACCAGGACAGACACATCTTGGCCTCTTTGTTCCCAGCACTTCCCAACTCTTATTTTAGAAAAATAAAAAAAATCACCATACTGTTTTAATTAAAATGGGTATGCTGTTAGCACATAACCAGAAAAACACTGCATCAGAAAAAGGACAGAGGAGGCATAACCCCAGTGCCCCACTCACCAGGAAGAAGGAGCCCGGGGGGTGGGGGGTGCAGGGGGTCCCTCCTCCCAACCTCCCCCTGCCTGGACAGGCCTCACAGAGCCGCCACCCGCTGATGGCGATGTTCATTCCAGGTGAGTTCCACTCTCACGTCTCCAACACTCGACCCAGCTTCCACCCCAGGGAAGCTGCAGCCACGCCCACCATGGGCACCCCCACCCAGTCCTCCCCATCACCTACTCTTCCCGGAGTCCCTCGCTGACTTCCAGGGCCTCTACTGCCCATTCTGTGGTGCCCCCGCCTGCCTGGGGCCACTCCTGCTACACTTGTTCTGGGAGCTGCCTCCTGACCTGGCCCCCTCCGGGCGCATGCCTGCACACGCACACCGCCCCGCACTCTCCCAGCCCCCCAGCAGCCTCGGTTCACCCTGCGCTCCCAGGAGACACAGGGGTCTTCTTACCTGTCCTTTCCACAGACTGAGTTCTTTCACTGGGCCCAGCCAGCAGGGGGCGAAAGTCATTCAACCTGCTGCCAAACCGATGCAGCCGGTTCTAAGCAGCAAACCGGGACTGTGCCCACAGTAGGTGAGACCCTTGAAGACCGCAGGGCATGAAAGGTGCTCACCCAGCAAACCTCAGGCCAACGCCATGGGCCAGTCCTGAAGCCAGAGCCTGGGCATCTCTGGCTGAACGACATGAATGACAGCAGGCCCTCCAGATGCCTTCTAGCCCTTCTACTTCCAGGAATATCCAACACATTCTAGAACATCCTACAGCCAGAAAGCCACCAGAGGTTTAACTATCGAGTGGGGGCGCAGCCAGGCAAAGGCTGCCCCTGTGGACCACGGGGTTGGGACTGGGAGCCCCACGTGTGGGCCCTGCAGGCAGACTGCGGGGCATGTGGACGGCTGCACCGCTCAGTGTCACCAACGCTGCAAGACCAGAAAGGGAAGGGCAGGGCCAAGCCACAGCCGTGAGGACTTGGGATTCTGGGAGCTGTGGGGGTGCCCTGGGCAAGGGGAAGGACCCCCAAGGAAACAGCAGCCTCAGGGGAGCTCCCTCTGCCTCCGGGCTGCGTGCAGGAGTGGCAGCGACAGCTCGAGGGAGAGGCCCGCAGGAATGCTGGCCAGCACAACCTCAGAGGGGATGCCACGGAGGCAGGCCCACTCTCCTTGAGCCCAGTACGACCCTGGAGTGGACCTGCCACACAAAGAGCTGAGCCCCTGACACCCTCCGGGTAAACTCCTCCCTGGCAGGGGGCGGGGGGGGACCTTCCTCAGGGCACCCTGAGGCCCCAGCCACCCCTGCTCTACCCTCTGCCTTGCCACCCTGGCCACGTGGGCTGCCTGAGTCCTCACACCCCCGCCCCCGCCCCTTCTCTCAGCTGGTCACCCCGCCCATGCCCACCTACTCCCCAGCCACCCGCCAGCTGAAGGACTTGGCCTGGTTGTCCCCAGCACTGCCCTCGCCACCATCACTCAGTGTGGTGCCCTCTGTGCGCCCTCCAGGGACGCTGGACTCACTTTGCTGGTCCACGAATATCTTCCAGGGAACCAAGGAGACCTAGGCCCCCTCCGCCTCTGGATCCCAGGCCTGGCACCCAGCTGATGCCCACTCAGCAAGGCCCCCGGACGCTGGAGCACTGAGTTGGTGTCAGAAGCCCAGTCAAGAGCCCATGGTGGCAGAGCCTCTTGCCACACAGCCCTGGCACCTAATTTACATACTTCCAAGTAAACTGTTGAGCTTATTATGCAAAGTCAAAGCATAAGAAAGAATGCTTAGGAAAGACAGCGGCCTTGGGACCCAGAAAAGGGCAGCTGGGAAAGCTCGGCTCTCAGGATGAGGCTGGAGTAGAGGGCAGGCTGAGAAGGGCCAGCAGGGCCCACACGCCTGTGCCAGGGGGCTGAGCGTGACCAAAGCTGACAGCCTTGCAATAGCAGAAGGGAGGAGGCCAGGCAGCAGTGGGACTGCTCTCTGCCCCAGCGCTGCCTCCCTGGGCCCCTGGGGTTAAGAACCCAGGCTTCATTCCTGCAGCCCCTCCCCGGGGGCCCTCCAGAGAGCAAGCCCGCAGGACAGAGCCAGCTCGGCTGGAGAGGCATCTTCGTAAACACCTTTAAATCGTATCACCGAGGTGCTCTGACCTTGCGCTCACAAAGCCAGGAGACCGACCTCATGGCACATGGGTGGAAGCACGTCGCTCACATCTGGGACTCCCCCAAGCACCCACAGAGGTGTGCCCAGCAAAGTGCCTTCCCACAGAAAACCCCAAGTGTCCGCTACCATAATGATTCAGTCTTATTGTTGCTCTCTTCCCAACAGACATCAAAACCTTGGATGACTCAAGGGGACAGTTTGGCAATGTGTGACAAACCCACAAACACGGAGCCTTCACCCCAGCAGCCCCAGGGAGTCTCCCTTGGAAAGTCTTTCAGGAAGAACACAAAAACGCATGCATGTCCTGCATGAGAGACGATGGGACAGAACAGAAGAGAAAAACCAAGGAAACCCAAGGCCAGTTATTTGAAAACATCAGTACATTTGATAAACTAACAGCAACAGAGACAAATGGGAAGAGAGAGAGGACACAAAACACCAACATCTGAAAGGACAAAGGGACATCACTACAGATCCTGCAATCAGAAGATTAGGGATTAGAATCAACGACTCTATGTGCATGAACCCAACAGCTCAGAGCAAATGGGCTAGATCTTCATGGCTGCAAACTTGTCCACCACCAAAGAGAGCACCTAAAATATAACCCTAACCTACAGCTATTAAGAAACTGAATCTGTAGTTAAAAACCTCTGAGAAAGGAACCTCCAGGACTATATGGCTACAGTGGTGAATTCTACCAAACTTTTAAGGGAGGAATGATACCAATTCTATATAATCTTTTCCAGTAAACAGAAGGGAACATTTCCCAATTAATTCCATGAGGCACATCACCTTGACATCAAAGCCAGACAAAGACATTACAGGAAAACAACAGACCAATATTCCACATGGTATAAACATAAAATCCTCCACAAAACGTTAGTATATCCAATCCAGCCACACACACAAAGAATAATACTCCATGACCAAGTGGGTGTGGATTTATCCCAGGAATGCAAGGCAGGCTGAACTGCTCAAAAATCAGCCACACTGGCAGACTAAACAAGAAAAGCATATGATTGCATCAGGTGATACAGAAAAAGCATAAGGCAAAATTCAACATTAATGATAAAAACTCTCAGCAAACTAGGAGTAGAAAGGGAAATTCCTTGACTTTGCTGATAAAGAACAGGTACCAAATACCTAACAGCTGACATCATGTGATGGGAAGAGACCGAATGTTTCTCCCTAAGACTGGGAGACGGCAAGCAATGCCTGCTCTGGGGCAAAGGCAGGGGCGATACAGCCCCTCTCCAGACGACAGAGACGACCCCGAGGAACCTACTGTAATAAAAACAGAACCAAGAAGTTTATTAGCAAGGCCACAGGAAACAGGCCAACACCACAAATCAACCATATTTCTATGTACTTGCAATGAACAATTAAAAAGTGTATCTTTTAAAAATACCATTTACAATGGTTCTATTTGGATCTGAGGTGTACGTCTAAAAACTCTACAGGGGCTGCATGCTGAACACTACAAAACATGGCTGACGGATACCAAGGAAACCTACGTGCACGGAGAGGCGTCGTGCTCATGGATTGTCAGACACCATATAGGAGAAACACCGAATCTCTCCAAATTTATCAAGAGATTCAATGCATTTCTAGTCAAAGTCCCAGAAGCATGTTTTTTGGTAAAATACACAACTTTTTTCTAAAAGTGAATGGAAAGGGAAAGGGACTATGACAGCAAAGACAGTTTTGAAAAAGAGGAGCTGGAGGGACTCAATATGATTTCAAGACTTACGGCAAATGCAGACAGGACGATGTTGGCGCAGGCAAAGAATCCGGCGCTGTGGCCAGCGCAACACAGCAGCCCACACAACACGGCCCAGCCGACCTCTGCCCGGGGGCAAAGGCAGCCGGAGACAGGGTGGGCCCAGCAAGCAGCGCTCAAGCAACCGGACACATACACTTCGGAAGGGCACCTCGGCCTACACGCTGCAGTCCACGCGAACCAGACACAGAGGGCCGTGGAACTGAGTGCACCACGGAGACCGTAAACCTTTAGGGAGACCACCACCGTGGCTTAGGGTTAGAGGACTTACACAAAAAGTGCAATCCGTGACAGGTAAAAAGTGAATGCACTGGACTGCGTAACTTAAAACTTTTAATCAAAAATTTAGATTTCAGCTCTGATAGAGGATTCGCACCTAGAATATTTTTAAAATGCTCAAACCTCGACACTACGAAAACGACCTGAATAAAAAAGAATGAGCATTCGAACCTGAAGGGACGTTTCAGCTCAGCAGCGGGCGAGGGGCTGGCGAATAAACACACAAGACCTGTTACCCCCCCAGGCCATCAGGGAAATAACAACGAATCAGGAGACGGGCGCCACCGCACAGCTGCCAGAGCGACGAAAGTGACACCCGGGGCTGGGGAAGCCGCGAGCACGGCGAGAAGGCGGAGCCGCACGGCCGCACCGGCGGCGGGCGGGCAACTCCCCGCGAACACGCGGCGGCCGCGCGACCCAGAGGCGCAGAGGGGTGGTGGCCGCGGAGCGAGGCCCCGCGTCCGCCCGAGAAACAGGATGTCCCCGCCGCTGGTGGGCCACCGCGGGAAGGCACCACCGGCCCTCCCGGTGTCCTGGCCCCCCTCCAAGGCCCCGGGCTGCGAAGGGCGCCGCTCCCCGAAGGCCCCCGGCACGGGCTGCACGTTCCTGGAAAACGCGCGGGGACGCCGACGGCCGCGGGGACAGCCGGCCCGGAGCGCGGGCTCCGGGACGCCGGAGCGTGATGAGCGGGAGGCCGACTTGGCTCCGCGCTCCGGCGCCCTCCGGTGTCTCCCCGCCGCCGCGCCCGCCCCGCCCCCTCCGGCACCCCCCGGCGTCCCCGGCCGGCCCGGACCCACCGTCCAGAGACACGAACTGGCCCACGGCCGACGAGCCGCCGCCGCTGTTCTCCACGAACTGCACCTCCGACACGATGATGTTGTCCTCGAGCACCGAGCCGCAGCCGGTGCACACGGCGTCGCCGCGCGCCGCGTCCAGCTCGATGTCCGTGCCGCCGCAGCCGCGGCACACGCGGCCCGTCATGCCGGCGGCCCCGGGCGCGCGCCAGCCACCCCCGTCGGCCCTGGTCCGCCCGCCTGCGCGTCGCCGGGCCCCGCGGCCGCTTCCGCGCCGCCCGCACTCTCGCGAGGCCTCCGCCGCCGCCGCCGCCGCCGCCGCCGCCGAACTCGCCGATTCGCAGCGGCAGATTCGCCGCGGCCCGCCGCCCGCAAGGGCCGCGCCCACGGCACGCGGACGAGCACCGGGACCGCGGCGGGGACCCGGGGAGTCGAGCACGCTTCCTCGGAGCCCGGAAGCTGCTACCCGGCCCCGGAACAACCAGGAGAGTGGCGCTGCCCGGTCACCCCCTTGCTCCCGTGCCCTCTGAGGTGTGTTCCGCCGAGGACTCTCCACTTCTGAGCGCACGTGTGGGGAGTCTCGTGTCTGTGCCCCGCGTCCCCGCGTCCCCTCCGGCATTGGCCCTTCAGAGTCGCCGCAAAGCTCCCCCACCCCAACGCACACACACGATGTCCCTGGGAATAAGCTTAAACGGAAATGTGCAAGACTGCATTTCTGAGAAGCTGGAACTTGACCGCGGTGCAAAGAAAACGGAGCCCTCCAACTTGGAAGCGAAGCTGTGGGTACTTTGAAAGTCGATACAGGGCCTCTCAGTGACCTGGCACAGAGAGGCCAGCAGGGGGAGCGCTCACGTCCACGACGCCGCTTTAGCGCCTTTCCCGCCCAGCGGGAGGAAGGAAGGTTTCCGTCGCCCCGGCAACAGCCCAAGCCCCGCTGTGAGAGTGCCACCGATCAGCCAATGAGAGGCCACTACACACGGGACTTCCGGTCCCCCCAATGGGCTTTTAGTTTAGAAGAGTCCCCCCAACACAGCCCTTTCCTCAGTGAAGAGCCTCCCCCCACTGGTGGCGGCCTTCCCTGTGGCTTGTCCTGAAGCTGCAACTTTCTGGCGATACTGAATAAACCCATTTCTTCTGGTAGAATGACTGACGTTTTTACTTCTACTGTTACAGAAACTCTTCACAAGTCAGTTGGTAAAGTTCAATTGATCCCAATTAAAAGACATGAGATTTTCACATGATTTGATAAACTGATCCTAAGTCATCCACTCAAGATGATCCACGAGAAGGGTTAAGAAAATCCTAAAAGAAAAAAATACGACAGGAGGAAAGGAAAATTGCCCTCTGTGTATCAAGACATTGTATCAATTTACAGCCATTAAACCACAGAGTATCGTACAGGGACAGACAAACAGACAAGTGGACTAAAACCCGGAACCCAGAAACAAACCCAGTGTACACAGAAATTTAGGGGCTCAAATTATTGAGGGAAAGATAGACTATTCAATGGTGTTAAGACTTCCATTTAGAGGAGGAAAAGGGTAAAAATTAAATTCCAAGTGGCATTATAAGCTAACAGTAAAAACAAAACCACTGGAAACAGTAGAGAATGTGGTAGGTCTCCAGTGGATACCTGTGGCTGGGGGACGGTGGCTGGCACGTGACCCCCTTCTCGGTGGGCAGCCCAGTCCTCACCAGCACCTACCAGGGTGGCTACAGCTGCCCTCTCCGCAGGGTGTGGACAAGCAAGCCCTGTGGCTAGAAAATGGTGCTTGGAGGGGTCAGGATAAGAGCAGGGCCACCAAGAGGCCTAAGCCAGAACTTTTCTGCTTTGGAAAGCCTAAACTAGTGGCTTTTTAATTTTCTAATAAAAATACTTCAAGCATTCCTAAAAGTAGAAAACAGAAAAAAACTAAGGGAAATTGCTCCACCACACTGAAGTTCAGCATTTTCACATGTTGCTCTTTGGTTCACATGCCTTTGTTTAGTCTTGTTTTGATTTGTTACCTCTGTGTCGTGAGGAGCACAGCGTCTAGTCCACTCAGAATTCCCCTCCCTCCAAGTCCACAGGTGACCAGTACCCAGCCCTGGGTAACCAGCCATGCCAAGCAGGTTTTAAAACTGTGCATCAACAATGGCTTCACATGTTTTAAACTGTAAATATCTAAACTTCTACAACAGGCTTTTCTTTCTCACCAACATTCCTGAGATTTGTTTATCCTGAGACATTCTTTTTCACCGCTGTATCATCTTTAGTTGGAAAAACATAGCAGAATTTTACATCACACTCTTACTGAGAAAACAGAATGGCTGCAGGGTGACCTTGCCTTTGTGCCCCCTGCACCTGTGGATGTTCCCTGTGGAAGCCCCTGGGGGCCAGGCAATGCCAGAGCCCAGAGCATGCTGCCCTCAGTGCATTGTATAGTGACCAGAGGACCCCCAAAACTGTCCCAGACAGAGGAGCCGAACAGACACTTCTCCAAAGAAGAAATTCAGATGGCCAACAGACACATGAAAAGATGCTCCACATCGTAATCATCAGAGAAATGCAAATTAAAACCACAATGGGATATCACCTCACACCAGTTAGGATCGCCACCATCCAAAAGACAAACAACAACAAATGCTGGAGAGGATGTGGAGAAAGGGGAACCCTCCTACACTGCTGGTGGGAATGTAAATTAGTTCAACCATTGTGGAAAGCAGTATGGAGGTTCCTCAAAAAACTCAAAATAGAAATACCATTGACCCAGGAATTCCACTACTAGGAATTTACCCTAAGAATTCAAGAGCCCAGTTTCAAAAAGACAGATGCACCCCTATGTTTATCGCAGCACTATTTACAAGAGCCAAGAAATGGAAGCAACCTAAGTGTCCATCAGTAGATGAATGGATAGGGAAGATGTGGTACATATACACAATGGAGTATCATTCAGCCATAAGAAGATAAATCCTACCATTTGCAACAACATGGATGGAGCTAGAGGGTATTATGCTCAGTGAAATAAGCCAGGCAGAGAAAGACAAGTACCAAATGATTTCACTCATCTGTGGAGTATAAGAACAAAGCAAAAACTGAAGGAACAGAACAGCAGCAGACTCACAGAACCCAAGAATGGACTAACAGCCACCAAAGGGAAAGAGACTAGGGAGGATGGGTGGGAAGGGAGGTATAAGGGGGAAAACGGGGCCATATGATCAGCACACATAATGTAGGGGGTTGGGAACATAGGGAAGATACTATATACAGAGAAGACAAGTAATGATTCTATAGCATCTTACTACACTGATGGACAGTGACTGTAATGGGGTATATGGGGGGACTTTATAATAGGGGGAGTCTAGTAACCATAATGTTGTTCAAGTAACTGTACATTAATGATATCAAAAAAAAA